TGAGGCCAACCATCCCCACCCCTCACGGGAAACAGATTAAAACTTTACCCCACCATCAATTATTTCCACCGCCTTGACATACCGGTTGTTGAATCATGGCATGGCGTATATTCTTTATTTAGTTTTTTATTTAGACATATTTGGTGTGCGTGTTATGTGCCGCTTAATGTGATTGTTGGAGTGGTTTATGGTGATGCGCACAAATTTTGAGAAAGATTGTTTTTTTTTACTTTAATGGTCGTGGTGATGATAAGGACAATAGCAACTTAGCATTAATGGTATGCAGGCTGTGTGTTTAGAAAGAGTTGGGAATTCAGATCATGCTCGTAATTTCTCATAGATTGACTATCCAGTGTATATTTTATCGAAATTAAAATCTATCCAAAACTACCTCTTCATTTTCGAAAAATTGGTTTCACGTCAATTTGAGCAAAATAAATTGTGTTGACAGACGTCGTTTTGCGATAAAAGAAAAAGAATGGAGCAGTAATCCCTGTGATCGATATCTTGTGACACTGAGCGATGATAAACACACACATCAGTAGGAAGATAGAAATGTTAGTATTACTATTATTACCATTATTTGTCATTGTTATTAACCGTTATGACTAATAATTAATTTAGGGTTGTATTATTATTATTATTATTATTATTATTATTGAAAAGGTTTATGGTCTTACAGTTTATTTAATCGAGCGGGTCTTTACTTCATCCACGGAAATACTGAAAAGAATTGGGGAAAATAAACAGATGATGATTGTGGTAAAGACGAAAATGTAGTAATAAGAATTTAGAGAGATAAGAAAAACATTTATTATGAAGATTATATAAAAACACGGAATAATAAGAAAAATAGTCGAGGATAATAAAAGAAGTAATGAATGTCACTGATAAAACATGAAGAAATTTATTACCAATGAATTCGGGGAAAGAAAAAGGGGGAGACGAACTTAAGACAAACTCTGTGTATAATGGCTACAGTTATTACACACACTTAACTTTAATTCTCCTGCAAGTTTTTTCTAATTATCCTTATCTACAAATACTCTGTTTTCTCATCCGTCTACTTTCAACCTTAATTTCTTCCATGACAGTTCATTATCGAGCAAAATACAGGATAATTATTCCAAATATTAAACCATTTATCATTGCCGTGTAGGAATTTATGATTTATGATGCAAATTAAACGCTTCATTTAAATTTTGTCAAAGTCAGGATTCATAATAGAGTCCAATCAACACCTATGGATAAGTACCCAGTACGCCATCTTTCTTCAGAGCGAATATATTAATTTAATTAATAAGGTAAATACGTTTAGACCCGTAGCCGCCTTTTTTCCCGCGCAACCATCACCACAACAATCATCATATTTCTCAGACTATTTTTTTTAAGCGCCAACGCTCCAGTTGATAATAAATGAGACTTTTGTATCCTTTTGTATTAATGGACTTAATGGTATATTTCCTAACTCAGCGGGTAGTTGACAAGTCAATAATTGCGGCAGGGGTCGGAAAAGTTGTTCTAAATGATCTTTCTCTGGGACTGGCAGCGTCTATAATCTGTGTCCCTGTTGCAAGAAACTTTTGTCTGGCAGTAATAACAGGGTCCTCACACTGGATCTACTTTCAGACAGTGATATCGAGTTTGTGGTGTTTTGTACGGGTATATCACTGAGATTGGTAACCTTTTCACAAGTATAAGTTTGAGTATATCTAACTTAGGTTATATGCTCTCTACTATCTCAGGAGGGAGTAGATGCTGATTCAGTCGTTTGTGGATCGCGAATCAGATTGTGGTAATTGGCGCGGATTTACAGTTGGATTTGATTGGTTGTGGTTGTAGATAGATAGATAGATAAATAAATAGATATAGCTATTCAGTAAAATTATCACACAAGTTTATAATGATTTAGCATAGACATTGTACGTATACAAACAATGTACATACACAATACTGATATGAATAATGTACATATACAGTGTACATAGACAGTGCAGAACATACAGACACACACACACACACACACACACACACACACACACCTGACTGACGCCTAAACACTGGCTAACAAATACCGTTTCCTACTGGCAGGTGTCGTGGAAGCAGAGGTAGTTAGGTTTAGGAGTTTTTAATTGATTTATTTAGTTATCAGAAAGCGGAGCGTATGTCTTGAGGTGTGAGAGCTGGTTATTGGACATGTGTTTAGGTCGTGTGTAAGCCATGTGTAGGTCGTGTGTGTAGGTCGTGTATAAGCCATGTGTAGGTCGTGTGTGTAGGTCGTGTATAAGCCATGTGTAGGTCGTGTGTGTAGGTCGTGTAACGAGTGAATAAATGCGGTGTAAAAGACATAAAAGGGAAGATCTTGAAACGTAGTGTGTGTGTGTGTGTGTGTGTGTGTGTGTGTGTGTGTGTGTGTGTGTGTGTGTGTGTGTGTGTGTGTGTGTGTGTGTGTATTCAGAAGACAATGAGCACTTTCGGATAATTTAAAGCACAATGTGGAAAGCTTCGGACACTTAATGGGAAACTTGAAGGGTGCAAGTTTGGAAGGTTTTGGACACAGAGAGAAAGGAAGGAAGAAAAAAGACCTCACGGATTACGTCGACTTTGAAAGTGTGAGAAGACGTGTATAAAGAGAGCACAGGTAAACTAGTTGCCTTTGACAATGTTAGTATGTACTGGGAGACGTGACTGGTATTCGGTCATCATCAAGATATCTGTCATCGTCGTGGTGCGGAAGCTTTGTTACCCCAACTGAGTCACCCATCACCAGGAGCCGTGATCTAAATACCCCTTGTGTTATTGTCTCCATACCGCACAATTTTACGATACCCAAAATAGCGAACACTCCTGCTGCTGCCTCCCGTGATGCTCTGCATGTGTCGTAGATCTGTCAAGAGATGAGGTCTTTTATGCCTCCTCCTCCTCCCCACCACCACCACTACCACCCCAGCTAGACATGTGTACCACCTTCCATCCGTCTTTCCTCCTCTTCCTCCTCCTCTTGACTGATATCCGTTCCTCGCCCTCAAATTGTACCTCTACTAGATACCCTGTGTTAATGTTTTGTTGATTTAGTTTTCTGATTTTGAAGGATTTTTATTTACTGTTATTCATTTACCTCTGCTATATACAGTACGCTACCACAACCACGCTAAAATAACACTACCACAACCACGCTAAAATAACACTACCACAACCACGCTAAAATAACACTACCACAACCACGCTAAAACAACAGTCACAACCACGCTAAAATAACACAACGACAATCACACTAAAATAACACTACCACAACCACGCTAATATAACATTACCACAACCACAATAAGAACCACCACCACAACCCACCTTTTAAAGACCCACCACAACCCACCTTTTAAAGACCCACCACGACCTACCATTGAGTCGTGCGCGGGTTCTTTACAGCGGGCACCATTAACGACTTGTTCCATTACAGAATTTAAATAGTTTGTAATTTTACCTCATCGCCCATCATCCGTCCTCCCCATGTCAAGGGATTTTTTTTATTGCATTCTTTCACAGCCTTTATGCATTCAATCTTTTCTTTTTCTTTTTAACTTCTTTATTTTTCTTCGTTCTTAAAACATGTGGGCGCCATATCGTTCTTCCTTTGGATGTGTGGGTAGGTAGGGGAATGGTGGGGAGGACCATAGAACCACGAGTGCGTGAATGACAAAGAATGCGCTTAATTTTCCGTATAAATGTTGAATGGGTCTCTCTCTCTCTCTCTCTCTCTCTCTCTCTCTCCTCTTTTTTTTTTACCAACTACCGGAAATTGCTCTAAGTCACTGAAAATGCTCAACCAGGCACCCCACACTTCTCTCTTTCTCTCTCTTCTACCCATATTCTGCTATCTTCCCTCCCTCCCTCCCTCAAACCTACCTCCTTTCCCTCCACTCTTTCCCTCTCTCCCTATCCCAGTACTGCCACCACACACACACACACACACTCACTTTAGACTCGGTGGAAGAGGTAAGATTTTAAGGTGTCTCAAGTCATACCGAGTGACACACACTTTCCTGTAGTTTAAACGGAATTGAAATATTCGTGGGAACATAAGCGAGGAATTTCCCACGCCCTCGGGGAGTGTCAGGTACTGGGCTTTAAATCAAAAAATATTTCACCCCAAGTGGATTAAGTGGGTGCTGTCTAAGGGTTTGGAACTAGGGGGTCGGAGTTGTAATTAAGGGGTGGTAGAGGCTAAGGGTTGAGAGTAAATGTGATGGAAGCAAAGGTTGAAGAACAAGAACTAATGGGTAAATGCAGTTAAGGGGTAATGGAATAGTGTAGGTATTAGTATGTGTTAATTATTCATCGTATCGTTATTATATGTATTATGTTTGTATTTATTTACCTTATTTACTTTGTTTCTTAAAAAATGTCTCTTTTGAGTATCTCGTCAGACCAGGTTTGTTCCCACTTAACAGGAAAAATCTAGTAAATTATTTGCCAGATCTACAAAATCCCAAAATATTTTGGCGGAGGATCATTCCCAAAGAATTCTCAATATTAATGTTACCTCACGGTGAACCTAGTGAGCCCGCGACTGGCCTCCCTTGTGTTACCATGGTGTTCTGGGTGACAACAAGAGATTCAGTTTTCATTGTATTATTATAATGTGAAGTGTCTATTGTTTGAATGTTAGGATTTAATTTTTCATTGTCAAATTCTTGTGACAGCCGTAATGTTCATATCTTAATTTTATATTACTAATACGCTTGTAAGAAAAATTGAAATCAGTTGTAGAGTTTGTCATTTAGGTCTGAGGTTGACTGATGGCTCATCTTTAAAACACCAACAATGTTATACCACTGAAGATGTTGTTCATCAGTCTTAACCTTCTTTGTTTAGTAAGTAAAGGATCCTGTGTGAAACTTTCATTGTGGATGTTATATGTATCATTTATGTATCAACGATATGTATATTTTATCATCGTTGTTAACTTTGGCCCTGTGTAACCCTGTCCTTGTCTCCTTCAGATGCTGGGTGGCAGCAACTTCTCGACGCTATTGACGTTGGCGGCGCTGCAGGAGGGTAAGGGACACTGTGTGCCTCTACCACCAACCCTGGAAGCCCACAAGAGCATGTCCACCACACCCACCACCTCCACCTCCACGAGTGAGTACTATAAGACACGGTGTGCACCACGTAATTTACAACAACCTCGTGTCTACTGTACTTGTAACCTTAGTCGTGTTATAAATTGGGGGTAAATCCAGTACAGTATATGTGTGGTCTAGAACCCACAGGTGTACTTTTCTACTACCTCGTTCTTACTGTTCGTTGTACCTGTCACTTGAGGATAAGTGCTGTGGGCCGTGCCAGAGTATCTTCTAAGGCCTCTCGCTACCCGACAGTGTCACTCTGGCTGGTAATACAGTTCACGTGGTAACACTATGGTACACGTCCTGCGGTTATCAAGCCTCCAGGACCCAACACAACACCCAGGATCGTCTCAATCAATCATGCTCTAAGACCTCTTTCAATGTCAATCAATCTTGTTCCCAAACAACTCCTCAATCATGTCCTTTCGTCTCTCTGCCTCGGAAGAATCATCTATATTTGATCACTATTATTTCACTTATAAATTGATATCTTCACTTTTGTCCTTAAATCACACAGTAAGTGTTTTTTATTATAAGTATATATTCTAGTCTTGTTGCATTTTATGGGACTCTCTCTCTCTCTCTCTCTAGGAAGGTACGGAGTCTTCGCGGCTTCACCTCAGTACGCGTAAAATTTCCATTCTCTTGGTCTCTTTTTGCTCGTTTCATTACGTCGTCTTGTTAGTATTCCTTTATCAATAGTTTAATACACTTCACTTTCTTTTTTCGTCTCATCGTCAAATATAAAAACCTCGTCAAATCTTCCCTTTATTCGTTTTATCATCAATAGACTTCATGCGCCGTAAGTAGCTCTTGATCCAACTTTTTCTGTGTTTATTTTTTTTTGTATAGATCCATTAGAAGACGACGTACAGTATATATCATGTGCTCGACTTTTTCATAGTGTGTGTGTGTGTGTGTGTGTGTGTGTGTGTGTGTGTGTGTGTGTGTGTGTGTGTGTGTGTGTGAGTGCTTGAATTTATCGTGGCGGAGCTGGTTTTCGTCAACCTCTGAGTGTTCTTACGTACAGTAGGGTCACCTACTGTACAGCCAGACCCTGCGTCGTGCCAGACCTTAAGTTGAGCTACTCGTTGTTTTAAGCCACACCCTGTGTTGGGCCACACACTGTGTTGGGCCACACACTGTAGTGAACCACATCCACCGGTGAGCCATATTCAGTGCTTAGGCAGACCTAGGGCTGATCCAGACCCAGCCAGCCCCTGTGTGCTTACTGCTCATACACGGAGCCATAAACTGCTGCAGACGGTGTCATAAACAGTAATACGGAAAGTTTTATTCGCCCTGCTAACATGAGGCTCAGAGGCGGATTACCCAGCAGTGCGCCACACGACCGCGGGGTTAAAACTTACACTACGACAAGACCTGCGGGTCAAAACCAGTTTATATATCCCCTAGTTGGAGTCTAATTAATTTAGACCTCTGTACTCTCTGTAGCGATTAAAAAGATAGGCTATACTTTGCATTCTATTGAAGCCGGACTGCCATATGGCCCGCTTCAGATCTTTTTTACTGTTATCATCTGCATTTTTACGACATGCCGCCGACGCCGCCTGCATAGGAACCTCTACTTTACCCGGGCTTACATATCACCTCTCCCAACTTTTATTATAATGTACCGGGCACTGCACTCTTTCTCTAGGAACATGAGCGCCTCTTTTATGCTGCTCTCAGCACCTAACGCGGATATGCTACTTGGGAATATTGTGAAGTACGTGTGCTGGCGGTACAGTATAATATGAAGCCATTGTCTATGTCAAAATGTGAATTGGTGATCATGTATTTTTTTTTTTTTAGGCATAATATCTTGGCTGAAAATTTGAGGTTGCTTTAGGACAACCTCTTGATGCCTTTCCCGCCATCCAAGGGTCTGTTTTGTGTGTGGGCGGAACACTCGCGTCATGCCTGTGTTCACCCTAATTAACATATGCAGTGGCCATTTGCATCAAAGTTCCTCATACATTTTTCGTCTGTTATGTCGTTTATCGTCCAAAAACGGCTCACAAGATACTACAACCGGATGCACGGCTTATCATAACTTCATTTGTTGTTATTCACTGGAACATTCGTCGTCACTGATATCATAGAAAACGGAGCTCATTGTTTAGAATTTATGGTGACTCGTCTGATCAGGTAGACACACTTGTACCAGTAACTCGCTACGTGTACTCTACTTAACAACTTAATTCATATCACCGATTGTCTCCTCTATCTTGGTTTAGTAAAGTGTAAGGCGATATCTCAAACATTTTTTTCTTCTTCACCTTTGTGTTTGATATCCTAATAAGTTTGGGTATAAGTCTTCCCATATTTGTAATCTTGAACCTTCTTGTCTTTGTGTTGTGAGATATTTACTATAATCATCTCTCCATTTTGTCTGATCACCCATCGATAGTCATCTGTTTCGAATATTATTTTCTCGTTTCTTACAATGGCGAACTATTTTATTATTATTATTATTATTATTATTATTATTATTATTATTATTATTATTATTATTATTATTATTATTATTATTATTATTATTATTATTATTATTATTATTATTATTATTATTATTTGCCGTGTATCCGTACCCCCCTCCCCCCACCTCCCACCCCAGTCGCCTCAACAGCTTGTATCATCCGCTTACCGTATCATCTACACGAACAGTGAATGATATTTGATATTTATGTTGACAAGGGATCGTTCGCATTCTTTGTCTTGTTTTGGTTTTATCTGTTAAGCCATCGTTATCATCTGGCCAGGTCCCTCAGCCAGCCATCAACGTACACCGAGCCAGAAAATCAAATCCCAACCAATGGTCGACAGCAACAAGCACGGACATGTTTATTAGGACATTAATATTTTACGGCGTAGCTCTTTTCGGGGCAAATGTATAACCTCGCCGCCATTGCCAAGGTCTTTTTAAGGGTTTATTATTATTTTTTTTTTATTCTCTCTCTCTCCCCTCTTCAAGTTTATAAGGTGTTTCATGAGAAATTCTGACGATAGCGTTGAAATTATTTTGACTAGTGTTGAATGTTGAGTACGTAATGCGCTCTCTCTCTCTCTCTCTCTCTCTCTCTCTCTCTCTCTCTCTCTCTCTCTCACGTCAGACCAACTGTGCTGAAAGTCAATAGTCTTGCAATGGATAAGAGAAATGCTTTTATTAAAGACCTTAGTGTGTGTGTGTGTGTGTGTGTGTGTGTGTGTGTGTGTGTGTGTGCGTGTTTGTGTGTGTGTGTGTATTGTGTTCCATCTGTTTTTTGTCTAAATAAACAAGGGCTGTGCTTTAGGTAACAGGAGAATATTCCAAAACATACATACATACATCGTGTTGAAGTTACATATAATATTAACCCCTCCTTTCCCCACCCCCTCTCTCTCTCACCCCACCTCCCCCACACCCCTCTCTCCCCACCCCCTCTCCCCACCCCCCCCCACACCCTCTCTCTCCCCACACACCCCCCCCCCACCCTCTCTCCCCCACCCTTCCCCCCCCCCTCCCCACCCCTCTCTCCCCACCCCCTCCCCCACCCCTCTCTCCCCACCCCCCCTCTCTCCCCCACACCCCTCTCTCCCCCACACCCCTCCCCTCTCCCACCCCTCCCCCACCCCCTCCCCCACCCCCTCTCCCCCCTCTCTCCCACCCCCTCTCTCCCCTCTCTCCCCACCCCCTCTCTCCCCTCTCTCACCCCCTCTCTCCCCCACCCCTCTCTCCCACCCCTCTCTCCCCCCACACCCCCTCTCCCCCACTCTCCTCCCCACCCCTGTCTCCCCACTCTCCCCCCTCTCCCCCCACCCCACCCCTCTCTCCCCCACACCTCTTCCCCCCTCCCTCTCCCCCCACCCCTCCCCCACCCCCTCTCTCTCCCCCCCCCCTCTCTCCCCGTCCATTCTGTTGTGTATATTGTGTCTTCGCTGCCTGGTTCTACCTAGTCAACGTGATGGTGGTGTGAGTATATAGTGAAGCCTTTCTCGTCTTATGGTGGCGTATATTATATGATAAATAACACCTTTGGTAACACTATCGATACTACCATTATACTGACTGTTTGTGGCTGACCTCTTCTTCCCTCCTTCCGCCGTTGACCGGATCACTGTCATGTTATGTACCTGTTACGATGGTTCTGTAAAATTACTTGTTCCGATGGCCTTTTAATATGACCTGTCACAAAGACGCTGCATCTAGCCAAGTCATGCCGGCAGTACAGCTTACACCGCCATGTCGCTATAGGAAGACCCTGAACCCTGTCCTGCCAGTGACGAGGTATAAACACGACGATGACAGCGACAATAATGTAAGGCCGTGAAACTTTATGCTGCCATTAAGATAACCCCGGTAGTGACGATGACGACGACGACGAAGACGACCCTGAACTCTATATCCTGCCGGCGACGTGTTGTAAGAGGGAGGAGGATGAGTTGATTCATCGGGCTGTTGCATAAAGCAAATGTGGGACGGGTGCGTTTGATTGAGGTTTCCTTGGCTGGTCTGAGTACACTGTGGAGACGCATGGATTCGCTTGATCGAGGCTGTATAATGTAGCCTTGGGTCTTTTTTTCTGGAGTGGCCTGGCCAATACCCTTGGAGCCTAAATTAGCATTTGCAAGACTCTTGAGAGCTAAAATTCGTAGTATCAACAGCCCTCTTTGTTGCTAAGTCAAGATGATGTTCATAAGTCAGCAGACGAGTGGCGAGCCCGAGCGGTTCCTGCCGTTTATAGGGAGGACGGAGGGGGCGCTGGGCAGGGAGGGGAAGGGGCGGAGGAGGTCGCTGGGCAGGAGAGGAGGGGAGGTGAGGGTCGCTGGGCAGGAGAGGAGGGGAGGTGAGGGTCTCTGGGCAGGAGAGGGTGGGATGATCGAGGGGGCGCTGGGGAGGGGCGGGAGAGGGCAGATGTTGAGGCGCTTCCCTCCTGAAGACCCCCTCAATGCCTCCATCACCAATACATAGATGATTCACAACCACAGGATAACTTCAATACCTTCCAATAACATTATGAAGTTTGATCA